TTTTTATTAACCTCAGTCGCTTTCGTGTTTTTTTCGCATTAGCTGTAGAAAGGTGTACTTCTGCTAACAAGAAGAGAGCGATTTTTACTGCTGCAGCCGCCTGCGACAGTAATTACTCAAATAATCTCATAGCACCTCATTTTCGTTCGTTCGATTGCTCAAACTCGCTTGTGGAACGAGGCGAATTGCAATTGATGAAACCTCCTTTCTGATAATAATAGCCTCGGTTGTTCGCATATACATCAGGGTCATCCCAATTCAAGAGCTTACAAGGGAATGGTCAGAAATCGAAGTGACCAATCCAGTCAAGCTGCATACCATTGAATGCAGCATGAAGCCCTGACTCTAAATCTGTTTTCTTTATCTGCTTATCGCTTTTCTACGAAGTTATAAGTCATTAAAGACTATTATTTTACTTAGAAATTATGCGTGAAATTGAAAATTTAGCCATACAGAGCCTCGTTCGCCTCAATGCTGGGCCAAAATATGCAGCTAGCATACAAAAAATTTTTGAAGCCAGAAGCCGACCTAAAAGTGCAACAATGTGCTCAATTTCGCTGTTTTTATGTATGATTTTTTTACAATAAAACCGCTTGTAGCTTCGTCCACAGAAGCAGGAAGCAGATAAGGAAGACACATTCGAAGTCAGCGTTTTATACTGCATCGAACGATATACAGCTTCTTTGGTTTGGCCACTTCGACTTCTGACCATTCCCTTGTTAGTAGTTTTTCAGATAAAAGCAAAGCAGAAGCACCTGAAAGCAAAAAATTCGGTGAACACGTAACTCAAACATTTATAGATGTAGCTTAGTTCTCAAATTTCAAGATTTTCTTTTCCGGCATTAATGCAGACCTTAAAAATTTGGCGAGTAACCTGTCGTGACACTTTGGTAGTCGCAATAAAAAACGTCCTATGCCTTCACGATTGCCTGCAAAATAAAATTTTTTGCAAAGTTCAGGGATAAAAGTAATGAAATTTTGAGTGAAGAAATGTGTACTTTGCATACTAGAAATTTAGCAACAAAACGGAAAAAAGAAAAACGGAAAGTATAGTTTGAAAAGCATTGAAAGCGTTCCATCGGCAGAATTTAGATAGATGCACAGACAGCATACGGAAAGAAAATAAGCTTTCAGACCAGTTACTCCTGCGATTATAAGCTCTCAAATTCCAAAGACAGATAGCCACTGGCTCTCAGGTCTTAACTTTCGCGTTTCATTTTCGTTTCGTTTTTGAAGGAACAGCTTCTAGCAATCGCAACTTCTCCGACTCATTAGTGTAAAGCCCTTCAATTGGCACTGAACTGTTGTAGAGTATTTCCAGTATCTCCAACTACGGAATCAATTTTGATTACTAGAAAATTTGGTTTTCTCACTATACGGAGTCAGTTCTATAATTCTATGGCAGCCATTTTGAGCTAGGAGAAGCATGTTTTGTGGTAAGGAGGTAGCACCATGTGGCATAAAGTTAAATTTAAAACTATAACTCTTTGTAATTGCAGTGCAAAATAGGTTCCCAGACTTTTGACACCTTGTACCAGCTCTTGATCCGTAGACAACTTTAAGGAGCTCATAGCATTACTACAGCGCATTCAATTTGGCTTACTTACTAATTGGCGTCAGCCATATGAGGCTTTGTCTAGAAATTTTATACTCAAAACTCTTGGAATCTCTGAGTCTTCACAGAAATCATGTAAGGACTTTGCCGTTAGCATCTATTTTTCTATTTCTCTCACACCTACATATTTCAATACTGCCCTCCGCCTCATTGTCTAGAATAGGGTGCTTACCTATCATGAAACTCTTAGCTCCTCAGGTCGGCTTTGCAAACGTCGATAAGATCATTGGATGTGGTGGTCCTGATCAGCATGCTCCTTATCTCTTGTAACACCTCCCTCTCCAGCTCAAATTTTGCAAAAGTCGATACGGTCGAACTACGAAGAGTGGTATGATACCGCCAGAAGTGTATTTGTGCTTTGGTCCGAATCAATAAGATTTAGAATTCTTCCGGAACATACGCGCACAAGGATATGCCGACAGGCAGGTAAAGGTATTGAGATTTATACCGAGCTGCTTCGAAAGTTTTCCCTTTCTCAAACGGTTATAAACCTTATATAGCAATGACTGAAACGCACTGAATATGTGTTCGATGCAGCTTTTTCTTCCTTTTAATGGCTATATTTTCAACCCAAATTTCAGATAACTAATAATCTCTTCACTTCTGTTTTTATCTGTTTTGAAGCTGCGCTGATTTTCAAATTTTTGTCCTAAACAAATAGACAAACAAATCGGCTATGCCTGACTGCTCTTCGGCTCTTGCATTTTACTGTTTGCACTTTTACAAAGTTAATTATCGAAGTTCGTTTTAATGAAATCAACAAGCACGTGAATACAACAAAAAAGTACAAGCTTTCAGAGCTTCGCGAATTATTATTATTATTATTATTTATTACATAGGCTACCCTATGTTGACAAAACAGCAATATCAACAAAAAAAAACAAAACAGCAATATCAACAAAATATTCGAATGACAATGAACCAAAAGTGTTAGTAACAATAACATATCAAAACATCCTACTGCAGATTCATGGAGAAAGTAGATAGTTCTTCAGGACTGCTTTGAACTGTGAAAGCTTATAATGGAGCATTCCCTTCCTCATTAGTTTATCAAGATCACTGCATACTCTATTAACGAAAAACCTTCTTCTCACATTCCTTCTCGCTCTAGGGACCACTATCTTCATTGGCCCTCCTCTCGTTCTTGAGCGCCTCATTTGGAAAAAGTCCGAGGGATTGACCTGATACTCTTTAAACAAGATTTTGTGTGCTGTAATAAGGTCAAATACCCTTCTCCTGAAAGCTAAACTATTTAATCCAAAGTTTTTATTACGCCGATTGCCATCAACTATTTCATCATAGTCAAGCCCTTTGGTTCGGATCCATAGTTTTCTAGTAAAACTATTCTGCACTTTCTCAAGGGTCCGTATAGAGCTTACTTTCGTGGGATTGAATACTACCGTGCCGTACTCAAGTAGAGGTCTAATGTAGACTTTATAAGCTCTGATAAGGAGGGCTGGATCACTACTTGATAAAGCACGGAATAAGTTGTGTACGGCTGCATTGCCCTTCGCAGCAATAGCTTCACAATGTTTATCAAAGCTGAGATCGCTACAGACCAGAAAGCCGAGATCTCGAATCTCATCAACGTACTCTAGAATTTCTCCTTCTATTTGATACTGATAGTCCAAATCTTCAGGTCCAATGTGTAGAACTTTTGTTTTTTCACGAGAGATTGGCAAGTTCCATGTTTTCGACCATTCAAAAACGATATTTAGAGCTTCTTGCAGCGTAGCCTTATCTGCCATTGTTGTGATTGTTTTATAGATTTTGAAATCATCAGCAAAACTACAACAGGACACTCCTGCTCTGGAAACAAGAGCAGGAAGTTCATGAGTATAGATGTTAAAGAGTGTTGGAGATAGCACGCCTCCCTGCGGCACGCCACTAGACATCATTCTGAAGCGAGAGAACGTCTTATTAACGTGAACCGAAAATTTGCGATTGGATAAAAAAGCGGAGATCCAGGAAACAAAAATAGGATGGATACCAACTTGTTTGAGTTTGATTGCAAGTTTTTTATGTGAAACCTTGTCAAAAGCTTTCGTGAAATCAAGATAAACAACATGAATACTTTGCCCAGAATCCAACGAATGGGTCCAATCATTTAGCGCATACAACATACAAGTAACGGTGGATCTGCCCTCTTGGAAACCATGTTGGGCAGTGGGAATTATATTTTGTTTTTGTAGATGATTAACTATCTGTTTTTTGATTAGTTTTTCAAAAAGTCTCGAAAAAATCGATGTTATGCTCACAGGTCGATAATTGGATAGGCATGTATAGGGTTTCTTCTTTGGTATAGGAGTTACGAAAGAGATCTTCCATCGTTCAGGAATTTCAGATTTCATTAAGCTCAAATTGAATATGTATTGGAGTGGTTTAGAGATTACATGGGCCGCCGCTTTGATGAAATGCAGCGGAATGCCATCCGGTGTGAGCGACCTAGATGGAGGCCACTTTCGAAGCACCTCAAAGATTTCAAAGTCATTGAAATATCGTATATCTTTCATCTCCGCATAGTCAGGTGGCAAGGAACTTGTATCAATGTGTACTGAATCCTGTTCAAAAACTCTTTCAAAGCCATCAGCAAAACCTTCAGCTTTGTCAAGGTCTGAAGTCATGGTATCCCCCGTGTCGGATATGATCACACCCATTTTTTTCCTTTCTTTAATTCTACTGTTGAGCAAGCGAAAGAATGCGGTCCTATCTCCCTCTTTAACTGTCTTATTTTCTAAGTAGGTATTATATTTCTTAAGTCTTTTTTTCAAACCTGGCGTTTACCCTTTTGAAAGCAAGCAAATCCTCTGCTTGGCCAGTAGCTACAAATCTAAACCAGGCCGACTCGCGAGCTCTAAACAGTTTTTCAATGTGGACTGGTAATTTAGGTCCACTTGATGGGACAGCCTTTAGCGGAATGAAAAGAGTGATTGCATGTTGGATTGCAAAAATCAATAGTTCGTACATTTCATTGACCGTTGTGACTACTCCAAATGATCCAATCCAATCAATAGACTCGAGATATCTAATGGCAGCCTCAACATATTCGGTTTTATAATCCCTTTTCAAAACAATATCACCAACGGGACCACTTACATAACGTATGTAAAAACTAAGTAACAAGTGATCACTTGTTCCGATAGGAGGTCCGACCCTGACCTCAGTAACCAGTGACTCATCGTTGGTAAGTACCAAATCGAGAGTGTTTTGCTCATGGGTATGATGTCTAACCTTTTGAACGAGGTTCTGGCTCAGACACATATTCAAAAAGTTCCTTGACATGGAGTTGCCCCCATTAACTTCCAACATATTCCAATCAATATCAGGGAGATTGAAATCTCCCAGTAGGATAGTCGAAAAATTCACGGCCATCAAGTCTGAGAGGGCCTTGATCAACTGATCGAAAATGGGACGTGGGCAGGAGGGCGTTCTATACACCAATATTATTCGACCTTTTCTCGTACTGGTATGAATGTCTACACAAAGTAACTCATAACCATCAATGATCGACTCACTGAATACTAAAAGTGGGCACAGAGCCTTACTTAGCAGTAAGGCTACACCACCGCCCCTTTTAAACTTGCGATCACATCTATATATCTCGTAAAATCTGCATAATTCGCCAAAAAGGGCGGCATCGGATATATCATAGCTTGCGTTCAACCAGGTCTCTGTAATCCCGCATATACATGGCAAGGTATTGGCGAGGAGGAATGTGAGCATAGATAAATTTTTTTGCAATGATCTTATATTTGTCAGAAAACACAAAAAAGACGAAAAAGAACTATCTTCTCTCCGAGGAATAACTATGCGTTTAAAGAATCAGCAAAATCAGTATGGGAAGAATGATTGATGACATCCATATGACTATTAGCAGAAGGGGAAACATGAGAAACATGAGAAACATGAGAATCAACATTTTCATTTCTGGAAACACTTATTCGCAATCCTTTCTCTAGCTTGAGCTTTTCACGCTCCGCTTTCGATAAGGACGCCCTAATGAATATGCCTTTTTTGTAAGGAAATTTCTTCATCAGATAGGCTCTCTTAAGTGTTAGTCCAACAAAAAAAGTTGAAGGCATTACTACTTTAAGCAATCTATCCCGCGAAAAACTAGGTCTCCCCATGCGGTAAATTGCAATGGGGGCACAATCAATATTCAAAAAATCGAAAATCTGACAAACGCAATTCGAATCATGATTAACTCTTACGCTGCTTGGTCCACCACGATATTCCGGAATTCCAGCCAGTACCAACGATCGTCTTCTTTCTTGTTCCTGCCATCCGATTTGATCCACGTCGGTTTGACTCGGAAGATTTGTTCCGATTTGATCCACAGAAGTTGGTTCGGCTTCCGACTGGTTTTTTGATCTGAGAGATAACCTTAATCTATCGTTTTCGGATTTGAGCGAAGTAATCTCATCAGATAATTTTTTCACTTCGTCCATCAACTCACGATTGCTTCTGACAATCGACTCCATTTGTTTGCGGCTTTCCAGCAAGTATCCGATTATAGTCCTAGCATATAGCGGGAGATTATCGTCCAGCAATAACGAATTGGCGGCCTCGTCCAAGTCAGGGGATCGTGGAGGCGTTTCATCAAACTGCAGCCTTCGTTTTCGCTGGCGGTCCACAGAGGGAATTGGGTAAACCGGTGTATCCTTGACCATAATAACAGCAGTGTAGGGCGATTTCCTTCAGTAGTTCGACTAGGAATACAAGACGAATCGATCCTTGAGCGGGGATAAGGAAGAACCAGGGATAAGGAAGCTGCTGAGCCGGGGAAGGTATTGGACGGAAGAGGAGCCAAAAAAATTGAAGCCTGGTTGTCACTATGATTGTTTGTTCAATATCTTCGAAGTTATGGCCCTGGAAATCTCGATGGTATGGGGGTACATAATTCAAGCTGAGATATTTCTGAAACAAGCAATTATCGAAAACTGGAAATAATAGATCCAAGTAAATTAAAATAACTAGAATGTGTAGCAGAAGTTTTAGCCCACGTGATGACTACCGCTCCTTCCAGAATGCTAAGATAAAATTTTTTCAATAGCAGTTCGGGTGTTTTGCAAGTAAACATAACGACAGTACAATATTGAAAGGCATATAGATCATAAAGAAATCACATGCCCTGAGATATAAAACTTCAGAGAGCTGCGTGAAGCTATAGCAAAGCAAACCGTCCGAACCTCTATAAGGCCCAAGGCTTACCTTCAGCGATCCGTCATTATGACTTTTGATCGCTGCGATTAGACCGTTGGGCGACGGTTCATTGCGTGAATATCGCTTATTGTTTGATTGCCGGGCATACCGAAAGCGATTTTGTAGACGCTCAAACACCACACCACTACCACTTTTGGAAAATTTACGCTACTTGTGTGAACATTTATTCAAGGAAACAGAATATGGTGCCATACGCTTTCAGAGAACACGACATCAAACTAGGAAGGTATGGATTCACAATTATCCTAGTATTTACCAACGCTTTTTGGGGACGCAAGTTGAAGTGCAATAAAAATCGACTGCTATTTCATAAAGTTCTGAGTTCACTCTTTCAGTCCTTGTTAGGCATTTCCTTAGCTTCGTAGCAGAAAGGCCATGCTTTCCACCCTTAAGAAACTTTGGGTAGGCATATTTTGACGAATGCTGCGCGAGCTCTTGTCTGCCAACTCAGATAATCGCCGGGGGCAAGCGGCCATCCGATTTATGGGCGGGCGGGCACCGGAAAAATAGTTCGCTGATTTCTTGCGGTCCGCTTGCAGATATTTGGAAGAAATTTAGCGAAGTATTAGACGAATGCTTGGAGAACAATCGCGGTTTCCTTATAGATTAGCTGCGGCGCAGTGGCAGCATTGTATATTATATATAGCAAATTTGTATATTCTCGCGGACTTTCCGCGAGAATATACAAATTTTTGGAGGCCGCACGGTCCTTTGTGAAGGACCTAGTAGCCCTCAGGTACTTTCCGCTGGAAGAAAGTATCTCAAACTTGAGTAATCAAACCATCGATGACACATTTGCCATGTAGAGTCTCACCTTTGCTCGGCATACACCCGAAACTGCTTAAAAACTGTCCGAGCGCCAGCTGAAAATTTGACCGGCGCTCGCTGAAAGAGATTATTTGACGAGCGCCTGCAGAAAATTCTTTGTTGCGGCCCGCTGGTAGAACATGAGACAGTAAAGGAAGTACCGCTCGCCGAAGGTTTGGCCACGCCTCAAAATTCTGCTGACCGCTTGCAGAAAAGCGCGAGTTTGCGTACCGCCTGCCCCCGGCGATTATCTGAGTATACGCCTGAGCGACCGAGATTGCGCATCTACCATGCTTCAGAAGCTGTAGCAAGAACATTCGAGATACGGGCACCATTTAAGGTCAAGAACGAAACTTCTTAGGTTATAATTTTATAATATGAACATTATCTATACTGTTAATAGTATTATTTACTTGTTAATAAACAAGGACGGGAGAAGACTAGTGCATTGCGCGAACAGTGAATGCCAACACAGAGGATGAGGTGAGGTGAGATATATGGAAAGCATTCCATAATATTACTTCGCATGTGTTGTTTTCAAGGACAATAGTATGAAATGTTCGATGACCGTCCTTCTCTCATGCAGAAAGGAAGATGTATGAAATGGATTAGTTCTAAATGAGATTGTCATTTGCAAAAAATTACGGACCCTCTCACAAAGAAGAAATCATTCGAGCTAGTTGTCCTGTTCATCATTGGTGCAGAACTAGCGACGGCGATATCGCTGAGTTCGGCGACGCACAACGATATCCCTGCTGAGAGTATGTGCGCCTAAAAAAGGCCTGCGATTCGTCGCAGTGTCATTCTAAGGCATACCTCTCGCGATTTCGCGAAATCCCAACATCCTCGCGACTTGGCGGTTTGCCAGATGTCTAGAGATTAAGCATGCGAGGTCCTCAGATGCATGGGTGCGTAGATTCCATAAATTGTAACAAACACAGCAAGTCTGGCCCAAGCAAAGTCCGTTTACGACTAGCTATGGAGAGTCGTTGCAGTGCCAAATCGCGCGGCGACTAAAATCGCGTGAGGTATGCTTTAGGCCTAACACAGACGCGCTGCGACCACACAGTTGGGCGCGCGTGCGCTGCGGACTTGGAATATATGTCCGAGTTGGAAATTGCAATGCAACTGGAATCGCGGAAGGTATGCCCTAGGTTAAGACCAATGGGATTCTGAGACGTTGTCAGCGTAAAAAGTAGAGATCAAAAGCTATAGTATGGCCAAATTTCTCGTGTCCAGCGTTCGGGGCAGTTAGGTAGCGCGCAACACTTAGGTACGAAGAAACAGGAGAAAGAGGAGACGGGGCAGGTCGTAGGACTGCGCGGTTTCTTAACAAAATATATATCATTCTAATCGTCATGACACAACTAAGCGCGCTGAGAACGTCGCAAACGTTAAATCTAGTCACAAGGATTCGATTTTATCAAACTCCAACAGCTTCCGTAACTTCTGAAACTTCAGTCAGAAAAAGATGTCAACTGAGAAATGTCGAATTCACAAAAAAAATCTTCTTTGCAAACGGAAAACCGAAAAAGCCCGAGGTAAAAGTTCAGAGTGTACTTGCAAAAACTTGCAATATGAAAATATCAGTGTGGGAGCAGTCCAGCATTGCTTTGGCAAGAGTGTTCCAGCTTTTATTTTCCCGGTTTCTAGGCTACAAAAAAGGATACATCAAATTTACATACGAACGTCTAATGTGGAAAATATATTTTTTGAGAAGTTGGCTGCTTACGGGATTTTTTTTGGGGCTAGGATCCGCTTTTTGGAGATTTTCAAAAAAATTCCTCTCCCGTGAAAGTCGTTTTCGGACGCACGGCCAGAACATAGACTGTTGAAAGAAATACGACTGATGACTAGTAGAAAACAGAGCCTCTGCAAAATGTGTTGCCTTATTTTTCATAAAACCACTACGAAAAGCTTTCTATGATTCGTAGTGCTGAGGTTGTAGACCATTTTATATGGAGACACAAGTCTGACTGGCTATCATATAAAGAAGCATCTCAATAAACCATATGCAAGGATTTTTCTACCATCATTAATTAGTGCAACAGTTCTTGTCCGGAAAACGTTGCTATTTTTTTTGCCTTTTTTACCGCGCGAAATTGCATAAACAAATCTCACAAGGAGAGGATACTTAGTCGAAAGCACCAATCCGGACGAGACATACATCATCTTAAAGCGCTTGAAACGCTGATTTCAAATCTGCAGTTTCTAGCTGCGGAGCGGTTTTGTAGAAGGAGTTATGAAGGGTGCTTCCCTCTGGGGTTTAGGCGCCCTCCAGCGGTCTCCCCTTATCTGTAAGCACTGTAGAAGAGTATCAGCTGATGGCAACTGACCTAATGGTATTAGGTTGGAAACTAAGTTTTGCAACTGGTCTCATAACTTTCCTCACAATCAACATGGCGCACTCAAATTTTGCCACTGCGTTGGTTGTTACGTAAGCTACAAGCGCAGCTGCTGTCCTACAATTCTGACGTCGCAGTGAAAGTTACGGTAGGTGTATGGTATGAAGGGGAAAAATTCAAAGTTTGACGGATTTAGCTGAAACTTGGCGTGAGGGTGTTATCCGACATGCTGATCACGAAAACGATAGTGAAATTGCGTGATAAGGGCTTTTTTGTAGGATTACTGTGGTTGTACGATATGGGGTCTCACCCTAAACAAGGAAAAAGGCGTTGATTCAACAAATGAGTATGGTATTCGCGTTTGGCAAGTTAAATAACCTTAATATGTAAAGTCTCGGCGGAATATGAGCTTTGGACTCTTTAGTCATCGACGGTCGTCCCCAGCAGCTCTTGCGTACATCAACTCGTTAACTTTATGAGAACGCCAAATCTCGACGTGCCCCTAAATTTTGTCTCTTTCTTACTAGGCCAAAGGAGTCAACCTCCAGCAATAATTTATAGACGAATCTGGATTACTGCGCAAGGTCTAAGCTGCCAAAGGCCTCATTTTAGCTTAAAACCCCAAAAATTCTCAAATTTCACTAGTTTTCGAAAAACGCCTGAAACTGTTCTATTTCTTGTTCAAAATTTAGACAATTTGTGCTCGCTTGTAGATCACATTGCCTTCTACATAATGCCAAAGTTTGAGCGCGCCATGTTGAGTGAGAGTGAAGTTATGAAACCAGTTGCAAAACTTAGTTTCCAGCTTAATAAATAACTTGAATGAAGATTACAGTAAAGATTATAATACTCATATTACTCTAGTTTTTTTTAACACTTCTAACCTCGACTACTACCAATATCGTCAGAAGTTTCATGCTTTAGGGCTCTAAAGCCATTTAGAAGTTCAATTTAGCATGCGAAGGGGATTAAAACCTTGACACTCTCTTTATAAAGCACGTCGCTTACGACTAGGTCACTTGCCACAGTTGGTACTCCTCTACAGTGCTCATAGGTAGGGGGAGACCTGGTGGAGGGCGCCTCAACCCCAGGGGAATCACCCCTCACAACTCTCTCTACAAAACCGCTCCGCAGCTAGAAACTGCAGATTAGAAATCAGCGTTTCAAGCGCTCTAAGATGGTATATGTCTCATCTGGATTGGTGCTTTCGACTAAGTATCCTCTCCTTGTCAGTATTCGGTAAAGGTAGCTTTTGTAGTTTACGATAGATTTACATTACACTGCTTGTTATCATT